TATTCATGATGGATCGGTAGCGAGAACGCCACAGACCGTGGGTTATCCGTTGGTGTTGCATGTGAAATCCTAATGAATACAACTGGTGTCTTTTCTTCTTGTCCGAGCATCGATATATGAGGATCTACTGGATGACCTTTTTTTTGGTGATAAGCACATTTGTCACTGAACGTTGGCTCCACGTGGGTTAAAGACAACCGAGAACTCATTTTTTAGAAGATCTACTGTCTGCATGTTATGACAGACTCGTTCGTTGATTTAGTTACTTCACTGAGGCCTCTCACCTGTTGTTTTTTTTTTTTTTTGCTTTATATTCAGTATATTTATATTTGGTATAGTTTTTTATTTGAAAATTTCACGGTATATTTTTTGTTTTATATTTTTGTGGGTTTTTAGATACATGATGATACTTCGGACCTTTATGGGTGCTCTGAGTACCAACGCTTGCTATTTTTTTACTCATATTTTCGTTTCGTATTTTCAAATTTCACATTTTTTTTGTTTATTTCATCTAATTTTTTACTGAAGTGTTCTCTCTTTAATAATTGTGGGAAGATGAGCTACAAGTTCTCGGAAAACTTAGACCGAGTGCTATGCCGCTGCGGGCAGCCTTCTTTGTTGCTCACATCGCGCAAGCCACATAGCTACGGGCGGCAGTTCTATAGGTGCCCGCGGTGGGTAAACGGATCAGATGACTATAAATTCTTCGGGTGGTCAGACAGTCCGTCCGATTCTACGGTATCCCAACCAAACAACGTTGCTCGGGGGGTCAACGGTATCCCAACCGAAGAATGTTGCTGGTGGTTCGACGGTTTTCCAACCGAATAATGTTGTTTGGGGTTCGATGGTGTCTTAATCGGACAATATTGCTCATGACATGCTTCTTTTGCAGTTTAGAATGAATATTATCATCCTTTTATCAATTTTAATTTCAATATGTTTTTTCTTTTTATTAGATATCTTGATACTCACTTTTAAGTGAGGTGTATATCACTTTTAAGTGAGGTGTATATCGAGGTGTATATCATAATTTTGTATTGTTATGAATTGATTTTTTTTTTTGTTCTCAACTGTCAAATGTGTAATTGTTACAGTTCTGGTACAAACAGCAACACTGCGCAGTGCCAGAACAGTCATTTATCCAAAAAAAGTTGCAAATAAGTTGATTTCCAAACGCACAAAACAAACAGTTAAACAAATTGTCTAGATCAGAGGCAGAGTGATCATTTAATCAGAAACAGTTGTAAATTAGTCGTTTTCCAAACGCACAAACTAAATAGTCAGTCAGTTTATCAGGATAAACTGTTTATCAACAGATTATCAGAAACAGTTTATCAGAAGGATAAGTTGGATAAGCCGCAGCTGCCCCCAAACAGACCGTTAGATTAACAGTTTTCAAGATTTTGAAGTTGTTAAAAAAACTCACTATCGATATCCCATTTGTTAAGGTTCTTGAACAAATGTATAGTCATGTTAAATTTATTAAAAATATTCTCAATAAAAAATATAAACTATATGAATTTAAAACAGTGGCTCCAAGTGAGGAATATAGTACAATAACCCAAAAAAATTACCACAAAAATTTATGCTTATAAATGCATGACAGGGTGTAAGTGTGAATGTGTTAATGCAACATTCAATAGAAACTATCAGTCGAGCAAATCGGGTCGGTGCAGCAGATCAGAAGAGTCGACACTAGATCGATCGATTTTATCTGCCCAATGCGGTTGATCAGCAAGTCGAAAAAACACATTGATCGGTCAAATCAAGCAGGTGCGTCCGATCAGTCGAGTCAACATAAGATAGTCGGTCATGCCAATCAAGCAGGTGGGGCTGATCGGACGAGCCGACAAGACATGAAGATCAATCTGATTGGGTCGGTGTGGTCACTCTGTCGAATAGCCAAAATATGGTTGGTTGTGCCGATCGGGCCAGAGGGGTCATTCGGACGAGCCGATGAGACATGACAATAGATTCGATCTGGCTAGTGTGACCGATCAGACGAGTCGGCGGAAGAAAGATGCAAAAAAAAAAATTTTAATACTCTTATAAAAAGTCATGCTCGACACGCAAAATGATGCAAATGCGAACAAATATATAAAAAATGAGATTCCAACGTTCTTGGCTACAAAGTCGGCTCATCCTAACAATCTCATGGGTCACCCTAAAGGTAGTTGTCGGAGCGAGGCAAGCGACGCTACAAAGCAACGGGTGGCCGCCTCCGTTTGCCCAACACGAAGAAATTCTATGGGAAGTCTTCGCGGTATAGGAAACGTCAAAGTCGTGGGACTTTCTGATCTCTACGCCCAAAATGACATATTTCACTTCCCCTTCAACGTGGGAACAAAATAGTCGGCTCAAACATGGGGTTTACAATGACCTGGGCATTGGGATTTCGTGATAGAAACAAAAAAATATAGGTTTTGCTCATAGGATTCGTAGAGGGAAACACAAAGCTCCTAACCTATGGAATTTCGTCTGGGAACGCCAAAAATCCTAACCTAGCTTCTCTAACTTCCAAACCTAAGGGCCCTAATGAAAGGGAGAACGAATGTTAAAGGAGTCTCACCATCATGGTGGTTGATCGAAGTCCGACGTTCGTTCCACAAAAAGCTTTCCCAGGGGTAGGAGAGATGATGAGGCCAAGTTCCTTTCCCCAAGAAGTGGAGAAGCTCTCCTTGCCAGAGGACTACAAAGTCCGTCGGAGTCCTCCCTCTCCAACGTAGGATGATGCTCTCATCGCCGAAGAGACCGTGACCTCGCCGGAGTCCTCCTTCCCCTAAGCTAGGATGAAGCTCTCCTATTTGTGCTTCCTGGAAAGTTCGTCGGAGACGGAAGAAGTCGCCTAGAAGGGAAAAAAAAAGATGAAGAAGAGAAAAAGGTTGGAAGATGACCAACCACCTTGGTTTCTCCTTGAGGAAGATGAAGATCCCTCCTCCTTTTTCCTTGCTCCAAGCTCTAAACTCCAAGAAAACTTTAAGCTCATTGAGGAAGAAGATGGGCTTCTCCCTCTAACACTCTCAAGCTCTCACCAATAGCCCAAGTTTGAAAAATGATTGGAAATGAGGGAAAATGAGCCTAGCAAAAACATAAGACCAGCTCATTCAAATTTTTCCTCATAATTTGCCAAAAATAGCATCATGATATCACCTAGAAGCCCCCAAAAGAGGTATCATGAGCCCCTTTTTGCATGCAAGGAAAATCCCCACATAACCCAAGGAGATCTACCTTTTCGGTTGCCTAGGGGGGTGCACCAAGGTCAAAATGGCCCCAAAAAGGAGAAAAAAATCATTTTCTGAAACTAGACTGGCACCTAGGCATCCAGTCTGGCAGCATGGCGCTAGGCCCCTCGGGCATAGGCGCCACTTTCGCTGGCCTAGGAAAATGACCAATTTGAGGTGTTTTTTGGGCGCCTGGGAGCCAGGTACTGGCACCTACTTTTCCAGGGCTCAGGTTGGAGGCTTCGAGGCGATTTTGGGCAACTAGGCATCGGCTAGCCTGAAATCCCTGATTTCTTTGATTTGTAAGCTACGGGGGATTAAGTATGACTAAAATATGGTTTTGAAACTTCAAAAGTGAGTATTTTGATCGACCATTTACTAGGGGATTCGACGCCAACGGTCGCCCCATACTAGGGGTGTGAACGAACCGAACAGGAACGAACAGAGCGTGCGTTCGTGTTCAGTTCGTTTGAAATTAATTGTGTTTGAAATAGGCTCATGTTCGAAATTGTTCGTTAAAGTTGTTGTTCGTTTTCGGTTCGATTTATTCGAAATAAGTTCAAATTGTTTAAATTGTTCGAATTGTTCGAATTATTTGAGTGGTTCGAATTGTTCAAAAATATTAAAATTTGTTTGCAGCATTTAAACATGATAAATGTTTAGAATATATAATTATTTTTAAAATATCATAATTTTTTATATATAACTATTTAAAATTATTTTATATTTAAAACATTAACAAATCAAACACGAACAAACACATCATTGTTCGTGTTTGGTTCGTTTAACAAACCGAACGAAAAGAATTGTTCGTGTTTGATTTGTTTGCTTTTCGAATGAACCGAACACGAACTGTTCGCGAACAACGAGCTTTTTTGATAGCTCTACCCCAGATGACGACGCGGGTAGGGCGTTCCAAACCCTAATTTTCTCGTAGCATACATGGGAGGGCTCCGTGACTTCCCTTAACCGCGGGAGGTTCTGAATGGGTGCAAATTGATCTCTGATCACCAAAATGGACATCAAACGTATCCCAAATCCTGAATGAGTCTACCTAATGACGGACTCTCCCAAGCAAGGACGAATCGTTGCAAACCCTAGCTTTGTGCCCCAATCATGTGCCAGCAAGTCTCAGATGGGTGCCTTAAACTGTAGGACGCTATAAGTGAGCAGTAGATCATCCCGAGTAGTCCGTTTAGACACCCTATACACGGGACATCAAAAATTGATGCCAACAATATATATATATATGTGTGTGTGTGCGCGCGCGCGCGCGCACACGCACACGCACACATTCGTGCACGTGCACACATATATATAAGTAAAGAGGACATTTACATACATAACACCCAATTCTTATGTATATACATATCTAATGCAGACATACATACACAAATGTACATAAATGATTGTATGTATATGTGGGTGTGTGTGTGTCCACGCGCATATAAATGTAAAGGATTCCTTTACATACATACCACCCCACTCTTATGTATTTAAATATCTAAAACCTAACTTTTAATTTTTTTCATGTATATGACACAAATCTTTCAAATAACATAAAAATATGAAATTTAAGATATCATAAATGTATGCAAATTTACTAGCATTTACATGCATACCATCCAATTCCTATATATTTACAAATCTCAACAACTAAAACATGTTAATGTATTTACATTAACACCACTCAAAACATTCACATAACATCAATACTTCAACAACAAAAAAACGTTTGAATACGAAAAAATTCAGGAGAGATTGAAATAAGATGGTTACCTTAGAGAGAATTTGATCAGGTTGTCGGAGCTGAAGCACTGCCAACTTATCCTCGCCACGAGTGCCGCTGCCGAAGAGAAGTAGCCGCAAACAGTGATGGAGCCAAAGAATCGTCAGAGAAGATTTATCGAGAGCCTTAATAAGAAGGAGAAGTGGGAAATGAGACGTTCGCGGGCCATATTGGGTTCTAAAAGGGTTAGTGACGGACTATCGGCTGACACTTTAGTAGTTAGAATGTTGCGGTTGAATATTAAACTGATATTCTGCCGTTTTTAAGAAAATTACCGCACGACTGAAAAAAAATCAACCGTTGCTTTTTTTGGTAGCCCAATGCGCCATTTAGATGCAATTTCTAACGCTAGATATCCGACTGAAATATCTAGCCACTAAATTGAGTTATTCCTATAGTGTATCATGTAGATTGAAAATCTCTTTAAAGCAATTAAAATGATATAAAGACTGATTATTCTAAATCATTTACCTTTAAATTCAATAAGATAGAATGAGGACTAAATTTATATATATATATATATACTTCTACAGATGGGTTCTTTATGTATGTATGTATGTATGTATATGTATGTATGTATGTATGTATATGTATGTATGTATGTATGTATATGTATGTATGTATGTATGTATATGTATGTATGTATGTATGTATATGTATATATTAAATAAACTATTATAATTAAATTCATATAGTTATGTTGACACAATTGAACTTTCTCAATAAAAAACATTTTATAAATTTGTAAAACAAAAATGAAGAACCAAAAATTGGTATTGGTTTGAGTGGTAAACATAGTGATACTATCAACAAACAATTCCTAAAGAGTTAATGCATCATATTGCTAAACTGCTTTAACAACTTTGGCAGATATGCTCTATTCAGTTTCAGTATCAAAGATAATTAGATTCTAACTTGGGTTCATCTATGATGTCACATTAAGTTCAGTTTAAAATTCAAGCTTTTTACTCTTGTTAAATTTTAAACTCAAGGGCATGATGGACATTTGCTGTTGACTCTGGAGCATTTCTTTGCTCATAAAATTCCATATGAAAGCATAAATTTTGAGGAAAACCAACACAACTATTAATATGAATCCACAATAATCTAAGTAATTTGAAACTAGGTAGTGTCAATAAACTCTGTCAAACCAAGAAAATATGACTGGCCAAGCCGAGTTATCATCTTAAACAAGCACTGAGGCCATGCAAGGAATCTAGGGTTTTTCAACAACACCTTGTTGATGGTTAGGGACAAAGTTCCAGCCATAAGTGGTAAGGCCAACAATTACAGGAACACTTGTAGCCTCTTTTATAGCTAGCGGGCCTACAAATGGTTGCAAGAAATCAAAAAAACTTGCTTTAATTACTTCAAAACCAACACACCAATTCATGATGCTTCAAATGCCTTTTCAGAGAACAAGAGTGCCTTTATTTACACAATCCCAAAAAGTTATTGGCAATCATTTTCAAAATTTATTTGTTGATCCAATGCATGAAACTTTGGGTTTCCATCATCGTGAATAGCATAATGGCACCACTCATTTCTAGAGTTAACCTTCATGTGTTTGAACTTATTGTGGCACCAAGGGAGACTATGGACCTGCAACCAATTCAAAACTACTTAGACCAAGTGGGTGAAGGGTCCGGATGAGTTCCTTAATTTCAACTTTGAGAACCTCCACTTGCCAAAATCTTCCACCATAGATCATTGGAGTTGGCGGCCAATCCACAGGAGAACACCCTAAAACTAAACTAGAAGATCATTATTCTTAACCAAAGACCTATTACCAAACTCTCAGCATGTAGAAACCTCTAGACCCATTCCCAAACCCGCTCAATTGATTTGAATTTCAAAGAATTTGCTCAAAGACAAAAGCTTCGGGATGGCAGATTGAAAACAACAGACCAAACCCAGAAGACTAAGCCCGGAAAACAGATTTACAGCGATCTCCACCCTAAAGTCTTATTGTTCCCTCCATACAAAATACAATTGGAAAGGTAAACCGAAGATTCAAGCAAAGCACCAAATTCTCAGATCTTTCTATGTAAAAACCCTAGTTGTGTTCAAAATAGAAGAAGAAAATTCAAATGAACACTCCTTTAGAACAGTAACCTACAGATATCACCAAGAGTCCAGAATCATGATCTCCAAGCATTCCAGAATTACATTAAAATAAATAAATATTGACAAAAGAATCCGAGCCCGCGAAGTTATACATAATATCTTCACATCTGCACTAAATGAAAGCAAAACAGAATCAGAATGTCCGAAACGCCAAACGAAATCTACCTCAAAATGACGCCTTTGGTGAGAAAAAGCGAAGCACAAGAAGCAGAGAGTCAACGCCACTTCAGATCAAAGCCTCTTTTTTGAAAGGTTACTGTGTGTGTGTGTTTCGTTTACTTCATTAGTTGGTCCGTGTACTTCACATTATTTAATTTGTCTTTCATGGCAACATTTTCTTTATTACTTTAATATATTTTTTCACAGAAAAAAATGGTTGAGTGCCCTAAAAACAATAGAGAAAATAAAAAAATATATTTCATGGCCTTAATGGGATACCACAAATAAATTTACGTGCAATATCCGTACGCTATAATCGCTCGCCAATTCTAGCCCAACTTTGAATAATTCACATAAAGAAGAATTTACTTTATTTTAGGCCCATTTACATAGATGTCACCCAATTCTATTTATTTACATATTAACACCTAAATTTATATATATTTTATAATTGTTGAGACCGCTCAACAAATTTTCATCTTCCAGCACAAATCTCAATGCACGAAAAACTTTGAGACAATATTTTGAGAAAAAAAATGTTTTAATCTTGATAAAAAGTCATACGGAACTCTGATTTCTACAAACTTATAGTCAAACTGACCGGCTCTATGAGACAAACACAATGATATAAGAACTAGTTCAATCAAAGTCAAATCAAGCTCAGATCAAGTCATTAAATCACTCTTGTATGATTTACGGACACATTTGGAATGTCAGATTGATGTTCACTTTAGCAAGCTCATAGTTGAATTGAGCGTCTCAGCAAGACGAATCCAACACGCTCAAGATTACTCAATTCAAACATCATTAAGACACTCAAATGTCCATTAAATGTCGTTTGATTGAGAAAAACTTTACAGACATCCAATAAAAATAATCCATTAAATGTCGTTTGATTGAGAAAAACTTTACAGGCATCCAATAAAAATAGTTTATATTTCTGTATTAATTGCACCCAGAATACTATAAATAGAGTCGTCCCCTCTCATGAGAAGAAGCATGAGTCGTGAGAGAGAATTTGAGGTTTTGAGAAGGAGCTGAAGTCCAGCAATTTTGTCGATCGTTGTCGACCACCGCCAACCTCCATTAACTGTCACCGACCGTCGTTTACCATCACAAATCGTCGTCCACCACGACCGCCAACCACTATTAATCGTCATCTACCACTATCGACCGTCGTTTACCGTTGTAGACACCGCCATCTGTCGTCGACCACCGTCGACTGTCATCGACCACTGTCGGTCGTCATTGACAATCATCGATCGTCCTCGAGCACCACTAATGAGATGTCATCAGTCGACATTATAAATTAGAAATCTAATAATTATTTCTCGTCTATCGGACGAGGGATTTCTGTAATAATCAATCAACAATGGTTTTTTACAATTGGGTCAGGTTCCGTAGTTTTTTCATTTTACGGGTTTTTCCACATAAAAACTTCTGCTGTCATTAGTGGTTGTTTTCTTTCACCTAAGTGTGTGTTGAATTCTTATGTAATGCTAAGACGATAATCCATTAATCTACCGCCGTGAATTTTCTAGCACGCATCAATTATATGACCCAAAAAGTTAAAAAAATAATAAAATTTAGTATTTTCACTACATATATAAAATTAATATTAAAAAGAAATAAATTAATATTATTTTCAATTATTTTAAGCTAGAACGAGTCTAACACGAACGAACAAATATTTATTCATGTTCGGCTCATAAATAGATCCAGCTCAAAAAATTGATACATATTTGATTTGTTTGCTTAACCAACAAACCAAAGATAAGCTATTTAATGAGTCTAATTCAAACTATTGGCAGCAAGTGACGAATTTTCTTGGCAGCCCTAGAATTATTTTAAGGGATACTGAGAATATAATTGGGTACACTCCTAATATACCAAGTTTGCATGACCTAATTGATACACCACTAACAAATTTTCATCATTCAACACGAATCTCGATGCATGACACGAATCTCGAGATGATATTTTAAGTAAAAAACATTCAAATCTGGATAAAAAGTCATCCAGAGCTCCGATTTTAGCAAACTTATAATCAAACTGACATGTTCAATGATACAGACCAATGATATGAAAACTAGCCCAATCCAAGTGAAATCAAGACATATCAAGTCATTAAACCATAATTAGAAGATTTATGAATACATTTGGAAAGTCAAACGTCTGTCAAATATGACAAGTTTATACTCAAATCATGCAGCTCGATAAAACGAATTCAACGAGCACAAGATCACTCAATTATGACATCATTAAGGCACTCAAATGTCCATTAAACGTCGTATGATCGAGGGAAGCTCTTCGGACCGTCCGATCAAAATTTTTTATATTCATGCATTAATTGCACCTAAAACACTATAAATATAGCCTCATCCCTCACATGAAGGGGAGGAAGTCTAGAAAGAGTCTGAAGTCTTAAGTAGAAGTTGCAGCTCAGCATCACCACCAATCGTCGTCGACCACCGCTAACCTCCGTCGTCTACCACCGCCGACCACCGTCAACCATCGCCGACCTCCGTCGTCGATCGCCGACTACCACAACCGACCTCAAAAGACCACCGCTGACCGTCGACGACCACCGCCGACCGTCGTCATCAATCACCACCAACTAAACGCTGTCAATCGACATTGTAATCTGAAAAATACAGTTATCATTTCTCGTCGCGGACAAGGGATTTCAGTAATCATCAATCAATAGTGGATTTTCGCAACTCGGCCAGACCCCGTGATTTTTCCCTAATGGATTTTTCACGTAAAAACTTCTAGAATCATTACCGTTTTTTTTTCTATTTCTTCTGTGTGTGTATTGAACTTTCGTATAATGCTAAGACGATAATTTATCACTCTACTGCCTCGAATTTTCTAGCACGCATCACTAATCTTTATATAATAATTTTTGTATCCAAGAGAAAGAAAAAGTTTAATTTTGCTTAATCCAAGATGAAACTTCTCATTTTTTCGGCTTTATGGTGACCTTCAAAGATCTGCAAATTAAATTTTTACAGTGTTTTGATTATTTTCTGAGCAATTTAGAAATTTTACATGCATACCCCTCTATCCTTATGTATGTATGGATCAATGTCTAAACTTTATTGTATATATATATGTGTGCGCGCGCGCGCGCGCGCACGCACGCGCCACCTTATGCATACATAAAAATTTGATTTTTTTTTGTATTTACGTATCTTATATGTGTGATATTATCTATGTATGAAAATATAAATTTTACTTTTAAAAGTAAAAATAGTGGTGTATATAAAAATGTCTCAACGCTAAATATGAGGAAATCTAATGGTCAAGATGAGAATAGTATAGTGAGGGAAGGCCCACCGATAGGCAAATGTCAGACCCAATTATTCGACCCAGTGTAGTCGTCCGAGCCAAAGCCGGCAGGGCCAAAGCCGACTGAATTGCAAGGCGGACAAAAAGGTGAACAATTGAGCCGAGTCTAAACCGATGTGATATTATCTATGTATGAAAATATATATTTTACTTTTAAAAGTTAAAATAGTGGTGTATATAAAAATGTCTTAACGCTAAATATGAGGAAATCTAACGGTTCAGATGAGAAGAGTATAGTGAGGGAAGACCCACCGATAGACAAATGTCATACTCAATTATTTGACCGAGTGTAGCCGTCCAAGCCAAAACAGGCAGGGCCAAAGCCGACTGAATTGCAAGGCGGACAAAAAGGTGAACAATTGAGCCGAGTCTAAACCGATGTGATATTATCTATGTATGAAAATATATATTTTACTTTTAAAAGTTAAAATAGTGGTGTATATAAAAATGTCTTAACGCTAAATATGAGGAAATCTAACGGTTCAGATGAGAAGAGTATAGTGAGGGAAGACCCACCGATAGACAAATGTCATACTCAATTATTTGACCGAGTGTAGCCGTCCAAGCCAAAACAGGCAGGGCCAAAGCCGACTGAATTGCAAGGCGGACAAAAAGGTGAACAATTGAGCCGAGTCTAAACCGTTTAGTCAGAAACAACACAAAGAGATATATGAGTCAACCACAAGGAATAAGTCGAACATATGGAAGACCTCATTCCTCAACATCCTCAATCATCTAAGGAGTGTCCAAAAAACCCCCATCTATTATCAAGTGTCAACACCCAAATCAAGTCTGTTGACCAATAATGTTGATCTAGCCTGTCTTGTCAACCTAAAGCCAATCAAACTAAGTAGGCTGAGCCAAAGAACCAAGGATAGGCTCGTAACATATAAAACACTCATAATATCTTGTACAACCCCTTTTAAACCAGGGACAAAAATGTAACGTCATCATATTATGTCATCTCTCTTATAAGTAGAGAGATCATTTCATGAATAAGACATGATGTATTATTGTTCATTATTGTCCACTCTTCTCTCTCTCTCTCTCTCTCCAACCTCCCTCCCTCTCAAGATTTGTGCTCAATTCCTTTGGGTGTGATTCATGTACAAATTAGGATTTTACATTCTAAAAGGTGAGATGAGCATGGACCGAGAGAGCCAAGCAAAGAAATGACAACAAACCATACATTGGTCTTGAACATTGACGAAGTTTCTAGTCAATTCGTTGTAGAGCTAGGTCTCGCTCCGGGGACCACCTGTATCACTCAATTGAAGCTAAGTTCAATGTCACTGACAATCATTCTGAATATGAAACTCTAATTAGTGGGCCATGGTTTGCTAAAGCGATAGGCACTCGACACTTCCTAATAAAATTCGGCTCTGACTAGTGGTAAATCAGATGAAAGGGCAATTCAAGAACAAAGAAGAGATCATGACCAAACATCTCAATAAAGCCAAAACGGAGATAAGTAAATTCAAATACATTAATATTGAGCACATCACTCGAGCAAACAACCAAGTAGCAGACCTCCTATCCAAGTGCATCCACACGGGGGAGGATACACCTCTAAAGCTTGTTCAACTGACCATTGAGGAAGCTAAAATGATGGAGTTGGAAACCGAAGGGATAAAAAGTTGAGTGGGTCATTACATATTATACCTTGAGACTGAGAAGATCTCTGAAAAAGTTACTGATCCAAAGCGCTTCAAAATCAATGCTACTCAATACTTTTTGATCGAATAAAAGTTTTTTTTTAAATATCAAACACATAGGT